CACTTAATATACCAGTAATTACAGTATATTATTATTCAAATGCAATCATGATATACTACAAAGTATACCAAGAATATTGGAAATACCATTTAACATAAACAAAGTATATTTGTCGAATCATAATTTAACAGCAATCATAGTATATTATACAATATACCTGTCACGGCCCAAAAATTACTAGTCGTGATGGCACCTAACTCGACCTGCTAGGTAAGCCAACTAACAGTCAATACAATCCAAATGAAATTGTAGGGAAATAATGAAGAATTATCTGAACTTTAACAAATTAACCGAAGAACTGGTAGTACGAATCATGAGCTTTTAAGACTTGAAATTTACAAGCTGATACAAATAATTACACGATCTGTTTGAAGGTTACATTACAGATTAGCAAAATCTAAAGCTACCAAGGACAAGTGGCAGCTATATCCGGAATGCACGAACATCTTCAGGGTCAGCTTCTGACATCACCAGCAGCTCCGCTCCAAAAATCTGCACGCAAGGTGCAGAAGTGTAGTATGAGTACAACCGATCCCATGTACCCAGTAAGTATTTTATTTAACCTTGTCGAAGTAGTGATGAGGCTTTTTAGTTAAAAGATGCTCACTGATAAAATTTGTAATGTAACTAACAATAGAACTATACTACAATATAGCAGAATAGAGCATACGAACGAATGTACAAGGCAATAACAGAGTACTAGAAGAGATCACAATCCAACAGTTTCTAATATCTTGACCAATCCTTTCCTTAGAACGAAACCCAATGAACCACAATAATCACCTCAAAACTTTCATACTGTGAGAAAAACACTCAAGTCATTAAATTCAACACCACAGCATGGTCACGTTATTCTACAAGACACAATTTATAATATAATTAACCCTCGAGCATGGTTAACCCTGGCACATGCATATATGATCGTCACCTCATATATGTATCACCCCCGCATGTAGCAAACAATATCAAATAGTAGGAAAAATTCCCTCAACAAAGTTAGGCAAGACACTTACCTCAATTCGGCTAACTCGATACTCAATTTAGCTTTTTCCTTTACAAATTCACCTTCGCCCGGCTCAATCTAGCCAAAGATGACTTAAATACATCACACAATGCAAGAAAAAATAATTTCAATTAGTAAAGCTGTGGTTTTTATACAATTTCTAAAAAGTCAACAAAAGTCAATTCTCGGGCCCGCTTGGTCCAAACCCGAAATTCGGACCAAAACTCGAGTAGCCATTCACCCCTGAGCCCGGTTATGTAATTTATTTTAAAATTTGACCTCAATTTGAGGTCTAATTCTAATTTTACAAAAATTCTTAATTCTACCCAAACCCTCAATTTTCACCATGAAAACACTAGATTTTAGGTTGAAAACTTATGAAATGTAATGAAAGATTAAAAGGAAATAGATTAGAATCACTTACCAATGGATTGGGGGAGAAGAGTTCTTTGAAAAATCGCCTCAGTGGTTTTCTAGTTTTGAAAATTTGAAGAATGAACAAAAATCTCGTTTTTCCCTTCTTTTACCCAGCTGCAGTTATCACAATTGCAACACAAGGTTCGTAATTGCGACGACCGCAATTGCTATCAATTCCTCGCAAATGCGAAGAATCACTGAGCCTGCTAACTTCGCAAATGCAACGCATATGTCTCAAATGCGAGCCAAGGTACTTTGCAAAAGCGAACTTCTGGCTCGCAAATGCGAGTGTGCCTTGATCTGATTCCAGTCGCAAATGCGACAATATTCTCGCAAATGCGAACCTTGCCCCCATCATATTTGCGGGCTTCTCTTCGCAAAAGCGAAGCTGACCCAGCCCCCTCCCTCTACGCAAATGCGAGCCTGACTTCACATTTGCGAGGCTCGCATTTGCGATCAAGTCCTCGCAAATGCGAGATCTGTAGACCTGATGCACCAGCTATTTTTTTCCAAGTCTGAACCACTCTGTAGCCTATCCGAAACTCACCCGAGCCCTCGGGGCTCTAAAACAAATGTGCACACAAGTCTAAAAATATTATACGAACTTGCTCGCATGACCAAATCGCCAAGATAATCCCTAAAACTACGAATCGAGTACCAAATCAAAAAATATTTTCAAGAAAACTTTAAAACTTCTATTACAACAACCGGACGTCTAAATCACGTCAAAACCAACTCCGTTTCTCACCAAATTTGACGGACAAGTCATAAATATAGAAATGAACCTATATCAGATTCCGGAACCAAAATACGGATTTGGTATCAACAATTTAAAACATCGATCAAACCTTTAGATTCATTAAGCTTTTAAACTTTCAAATTTCAATAAAATGCGGTAACTCGAGTTAGGGACTTATGAATTCGATTACGGGCATACGCCCAAATCCCAAATCACGATACGGACACATCGCGGCCGTCAAAATACGGATCTGAGTCTGTTTGCTCAATACGTTGACCAAAGTCAACTCAAATGGGTTTTAAGGCAAAGATTTCATATTTTTCAGTTTTTAACATAAAAACTTTCCGAAAAAAAATATCCGGGCTGCACGCAAATCGAGGAGGGCTAAAATGAGGTATTTGAGACTTCGAAATACAGAATTAGGTTCTAAAACATAAGATGACCTATCGGTTCATCACATAATACATCATGCGGGGATATTCATACCCTCAAACTACCGAGAAAAATATAAGTGCTCAAACCGACCAGTCTGGTCGTTACAATACCTCATGGTGTACTACATGGCATATGATGTAGTATACCAAAGGATATTATGAATACCATTTAACATACTAAAAACAATTATAACATGATTCACCATGTAGTATACCAAAATATTGAGAATATCATTTAAAATTAAGAAAATACTTGATAACATAATAAAATATTTTATTAACAAGTGAAATAATATATTAACTACATTAATACAAATGTAAATGCAATCTTGGTATCATATTTATCTCTCTTTAAAATGCTGAAATATTTTTTGCCACTTTGATTACAAATAATTAAAAATATAAAATGCTTAAAGAATGGGAAAGTATACTACTAAATTTTTTGAAAAAGATAATTAGTAAACTAAATTTATACAGGCATAAGAATTGGGCGCGCTCCCACCTAGCAAGCCGATATTAACATATATTTATTCTTCTTTCAAGGAAATAACAAAAATTTATAAGGTTTTTTAATTTATTAAAATTTATACTTTTACTTTCCATTTGCTGGCGAAACAACCATTTTTTATGGTGCCATTCCTAGGGCTTCTTATTTCTTTTTAGCATTTTCATCATAAACAAGCTTCAATTTTATCCAAAAGAATTAACCAATATGATATAATATTATAAATTAAATACCAATAATTTTTTATCTTAAATGCAGAAAAATCAGTTTAACCTCATCATGTTTTGGAGAAAATAAAAAAAGTTATGTTCAGAATCTTAATTTCTAGGTTGAAACCTCAAAAAATAGAGCAATCGAGGAAAAGAAAAATGGGATTTACGGTTTTTTAAATCTGAACAAAGTGTAATAAAATTTTCTTTCTTCTTCTCTTTTGGGTATTTCAATTTCTGTCCTTGTCCCTTTAAAATTTTACTGAAATTAGACCTTAGAGCTAAGCCAAATAATTGACAAGAACGTCTCTAATATCGATCACACATAAGCATGAAAAAGTCAAAACGTTATAACAGATTATTCAAACATATCGCTCTTGGGGACAATAATAAGAAAAGAAGATTATTTAAACCTTCCATTATTATTTTACTACTATCAAACACGAAATTTCCGTCTTTAAACTGACACGCCCATGACTAGTGACCAATTATTGTGTATTGGTCAAAACACCCTGGTCAAACTGGTAACCCAATTCACAAATATGCCATCAGCAACATCTACCGCCGCGACCGCCATGGCCACGGCAACCTACACCACCATCCCAATTTCCGGCGGTGACGTCGTTAACCGATCTATTCACAATCTCTTTACATTTCTTTCCCGTAGTCGACCGTGGCCTGAATTCCTCGCCGGAGCAAGCGCCGTCGATCTTCCGGCATCTTTCTCCGATGCTGCAATTCGCATTCGCCGGAATTTCAAGTACTTCTCCGTCAACTATGCCATTGTCATATCTGCTTGCTCAGCCGCTTCACTTATCGGCTCACCCTTTTCGTTGATTTTCGCCGGTTTGGTTTTTGCAATGTGGTTGATTCTTCTGTTCTTCCGGGAGGATCCTATGGTTGTTCTAGGGCACCAAATTAGCGATCTAGCTGTGATTTCGGGTCTCGTGATTGTTTCTGCAATTGCTGCTTGGTTCACAGGAATTTTAAATACTTTGCTCATTGGTGTAGCGGTAGGATTTTTGGTGACAGTGATTCATGGCTTATTGAGGAATCCAGAAGGGCTGTTTGTGGATGAGGACGACGCCGTTTCGACTGGCTTGATTTCAAATGCTGAAAGAAGAACTTGATTTTGCCCTCGCAACTTTCACTAACTCACCAACATTAATTGATTTACATTTTTTGTGTTTTGGTTGATTGCAAGCTTGATTTTTGACTTGAGAGTTGTGTTCATAAGATGCATTTGGTGTGCGGTTCTGATTTAAGGAAGAGATGCTGAAAAATTGTTTGGTTCTTCTGTGTGTCTTTGAGATAGGGGTAAGGTGTGCGAAGACACTAACCTCCCCAAATCCCAGGGATTACACTGAATTTTTTATTATTGTTGTTGAATTTGCAGAGTTTTTCTTTGTAAGGTAGCTACTGGTTCCAAAGGTTTACAGGAAAATCTGTTGCCACTGGTTTTGTGTTTTATTTTGAAGATTGTCTCAATGAGCAACATTGTCCATTTTTATTTGTTCCACTCGCCTTTTCTTTTTCCTCCTAATGTGAACTTTTGTTGATTGAGAAAATACAACAATATCCTATTTTTTAATGGCTGATTTGCCTTTTTTCTTCCAGGGTTGTGAATATAACTAAAATGACAATCTTTTTAATTGCTTAACGAGACAGAACTGATGCGTAGTAAATGAATGATCAAATGCCATGAGACATGGGTTCATCCAACTAGAAAAACACTAGACATGTCTATTCTGTCTATCTGGCAGGAAGGATACTGCAAATGTTGTAGGTTGATTATGTGGCATTGGTTAAATTTTCTAGACGAAATCAGTAAATTGTTGAAACGAAATAAGTCTTGAACTGATGTGGTGAAAAATACTTTATAATGGATGATTTCTATGTTACATAAACTAACAGAGTGAATTGCATGGTCACGGTAAACAAAACTGAGCCACCAAAGAGTGGCTTTCTGGAGAGTTTTGGGATCATATTTTGCTTCTCATCCTTACTAATTTAGCTAATATTTGTTGAGCAGCCAAAGTTTGAGCATGGTTATGACCCAGCATTACGGTTCGGATGCTAATGCAGGTTCTGCAGAGATCCTCTCCGCTATCAAAATGACCTCCTCTTAATAACAGCTTTGCTCTAGTTTCCAGCAGGGTAGCTTTCAATAATGTCACCTCTTGCCAAACATACTCGTCCACTCTTTGGTTGGATTGCAGCTTCTTTTTCCAGCACAGAGATCCGTGGCACCAGTCTTGTATTTGAGAAACAAATGACTTCTCTGCTTCTTCAAGCACATTTGTGCAGACCTTCAAGAGTTCTAAGGCTGAGTTGCACCTTGAGAATGTTGTGAAGGTACTAATTGCCAATGGAAGAGCTGTCTTTCTAATGAAGAGAACCATGTCAATGGCCTTGAGCTGAATGACTGGTGGTTCGGACTTGAAACCAAATACAAGGAAAGCACATGACCAGAGATGGTCAGAATCTACTAGCGGGTTTCCAATTTTCCTTGCACCTTGAACATTGGCTTTAGCAGCAACTAATCCATCTTTCCTTTTCGCAAAGATCTGAGTGATGGGATGGAATTGGATCCAACATCCAGGCTGTCTGTTGGCTTTTCGTGCCAAACCCAATTTAACTAAAAGTAGTGCTGCTTCCTCTTCACTTTTCCATGTTTGGCTTGTCAGGCAATGCCCCGAGTAGAAGCATAGAGCAACTTTCATGCACTTAGTCCACATCTTGAATCTGTTTCTATTTACAGGAATTTTCTTTGCAGCTGCTGCCAGTAAATTCACTGAGATGGGTGCTGGAGCAAACCATGCTCCTACCTGAAGCATTCTTGAGGCAAGGGAGTCCCTGCTATCGTTGCTTTGCTGCAAGAGGACTGTACAGAAAACCAGTGTTTTCATTAGAAATGGATTTGTTCTGCAGAACTGTTGATGTGGAACGGACGGATTAGAGCAAGTTGTGGCTTCAACTGGAACCTGATTCACAGCTTCGAATAGAGCAGACGGCAAAATTGCAAGCTCTGATAGCAAGGAACCAACCACCCAAAGACCAAAACTCGACCTCCCAAGTTTCTCATCAAATTTTTTGAGGAATTCCACCTCTCCTGCTGGATACTCCTTTTTACGTCTTCCCCTTATCAATATCATGGCATCGGATGTGGACAATGGCTGAAGCTGCAAGGGATCAACGTTCATTACCTGGTTGAGCTGTGTTGTGATAATGACATGGGTACCACCAGTGTTACTTGGTATTAAATCATGAAGATCCTTCCCTTCCCACCACTCCTTCTCAGTCTCTAAATTATCTATAATTAGTAAATATGGCATGTCACGGAATATCTCCCGTTTAACTCTCTTGAATGCTTCTAATTCTTGCTCATCGAAATTCCTTATCCTCCCTCTTTCCTTCTCTGCATCTGCACTCACATCCAGGCCCAAATTTAGAGACAAGTTCAATATGTTCTGTCGAAAGTAGCGAGCTTCACCCCCTACCCACAAGACCATCTTGTATCTCTGTGAATACCTGTAAGCAAATTCCAAAGCAAGGTCAGTCTTTCCAACACCAGGGGCGCCATTTATGCACACAACACTGGCCCCCAAATTCTTGTCCTTCTCGCTTCCTGATTTTCTGTACTTGAGTCTCTTAAGCGAATTTCTTCCAATAATTGGTTCCACGCAAGCTTCTTTATTGGTTTCCTTGTTCTTTCCTATCTCTGGATTTATATATTTACCTCTGCTAGCATTAGCTTCACTTTCATCATCAGCTAGACCTTCAGATTGTCCTGGTGTTCCTCCTTTGACACTTGGGACCACACTTTCTTGCTCAAAGGAATCCCCACAGCCAAAGAGAGTAGTCTCTATCTCCATAATTTCTCTCTCTCTTCCCACAAAACTTTTATTCCTCGGAAAGGGCAACTCTTCAAACCCTTCTTCTGTTTTTTCTGCAACACTTTTCCTACCAAGTTTGGCCCTTAATATCCCAGCTGCTTTCGACACACAGGACCTCCAATTACTCTCATTTGTCTCCAATTTAAACTCATGACACTTTAGTATTGCATCCAGTACCTCTTTACATTTCTTGGCATCAGCATTTCGGTTAAAAAGACTTGCAATTTCATTGGCATCCGTATTAAAGAACAAAGGAATCAAGTTCTTCTTTTGCGCAAAGAATCTTATTTCCTCCAAGCTCAGATGGTTGAAGAAGCTACAACTGGTGACAACTACGACGCCAAAGGTTACTGAGCATATAACTCGGTCAGCAATCTCATGGCTCTGATTATCTGCATACTTTGCTCTATCAGCAATAAAACAAGCAATACCCTGAAGCTCGAGTTCCGACTTGAGCCACTTGCAGAAGCGCGCTAAATTTAGGTTCTGACCGTGGAATCCTATATACACATCACAGCTCCTAAGTTTGGCATTGGATGCAGGTGAAATGGAGCCCTTGGCAAAAGAAATTCGAGGGACAGGAAAAGAAAAGGATATCCTGGGATCGGTCTCTGGTCCTGAAACAGGGACACAGGTGACAATTTTGAGCTTTGTGTCGGTGGGGTCATCAGAAAAATCATATCTTTCTGGAGGTGGAGTGTAGGAGGTGCTGGGAACATCATCGGACTGTGAACCGCAGTATGAGACTGGTGGGGATGGGTGGGAAACTGAGGTAGGAGCAATAGGAGTTTCTTGTTTTGGATTAGCAACTAAAATGGTGGGAGCAATGAGGTTTTCTTGAGCACTTGGATTTGTAACTAAAGTGGCCCTTGGAGAAATGTAAGGTGATTGCAATGCTGAAACAAATGCAGAAGATGGAGGAGAGATGAGTGAAGGAGAGTTATATGGTGATGATGTGGCTGAATCTGCTACCAATTTCTGCTGACCTGAAGGAAGAACAGCCGAGAAAATGTCCTTACCCAGTTTCTTACCACCCGAATTTGCAATCTTGATGGTAAGGGACTGGGTATCAACAGTTGGGATCTCTTTAGGAGATTTCTCGTCATCCATTCTCAAAAAAAAGCTTAGGAGTTGGACACTCTGAAAAAGCTTTGAGGAACCAAGGAGGTAACAAAATGCTATATTTCAGTAGTTTTCAATTCATAAGAACCATATTTGCCGGATTGGAATCAAGAGAAAAAAAAAACTGATATTGTTTCTGGATACTTGGTATGGAGTGTAGATTTGTGGTTGGGATGGGAACACTCTCCTTGAAGAAGCAGATGAATGTAACAGTAAGACTTTTTGAAAGCAGAAAGAAATCTACATGTGAATCTTCTAACTGTGGGCCTCCCTAAGTCAGAACTCAGAACCTGACCCTCGCTTTCACTGTGGAGGAACTTGAATACTACTTATAAGAATAGCTAAAAGGGTGTACATCTTACATTGGAAACAAGAAAGCCTTTACCTAATTTGATCCATGTAAAACCATCATGAGACTAAATCTCCCAGGATGCAAGAGAAACTGGTTTGTTTCCTTTACCTTGATTTAGTTCGTTAAAGCCAAGAAGGGAAACATAATTTGCTTTGAGTCTGCTACCCTAGGGATACAATCTCCTTATTTCTCTCTCCCATGAACTAGCTTTACAGATGGGGAATCTAGTGATATGGGTTGGATGTGTGAGGTTTTGAACATAAAATATTAAAAACAATTGCTTCAAAAGAAGCTGCAGAGTGTAAGTGGTGTAATATTCTATGTGCTTAGTTTAATCCCTTTATCTTGGGCTTAGCCATTCTTTTTGTTTTATGTGTCGTAAGATTGCATATTTGAACTTAGTAAAATCAAATTTTATGCATTACTATAATTTATAATTTTCACTGTCACAGAATCCAAAGGTTGGTCAGAATGAATACAGAGAAAAAAAGGCATTGGGAGAGGAACCAAAGACTGTGTGACCTTGGTGGAAATGGGGCACTAAGTTGCAAGGGAGAAATGCCTCTCTGAATGAATAAAACCAAATATTGATGTATGCAATGCAGGTTTGCTCTCTCTCTTCTGACGCATTTGTTCTGGGAATTGGACCAAGACCAGTCCAACTCTGAGCACTAAAAACCATTAATTAATAATTTGAAAGCTCCACCTCTTCCCCTGGTGTCATACTCCTACCATCCCCCCTCCCCCCTGCTCATATATTATTTTTCCACAATTTGGAAGCACGGACATATAAAGGAAAATAAGTGAAACAAATAGCGGTAAAGTTAGCCAAACAAAACGAAGAAAGGAGGGATTAATTAAGGTGTTGTTCAGGAATATGCATGCACTAGAAAAAGGAAAGAGAAGGTTCATCTTGAGTCCTTGCTATCAGGTGGCCTTCAAAAAGGAAATTTATAGTTAGGTTGGATTAAGGATTCCAACTTTTTGTGCAATAAAAGCTTCCCCCTTTTAAACCTACAAAAAAAAAAATTATAAACTACTTTGACTTAAACAGTGACCTCTCTAGTTGAACCTCTGTCGGCTGTGACCATGTTAAAAAGTTGGAAGCCTTTTAGTTTTGAGATATTCCTCTGTCTTAAGCTCTGTTTGGAATTGGGTCTAGATTATTGTCTCATAAATATCTTCGGGCAACTGACGCTTTAGGATGACCCCTTCCATTCACAGAATATAAGTTCAAAGCCTAATTATTTTCTTTTTTACTTATTCACATCATCACTCGAATAAGACAAAAGTTTTCGAACTTACAGTCACTATCCCAAACATCTTTCTATGACACCCTTCCCCACACTGTCCCCCTTGAGAAGAGAAGGAATAGAAATTGAAAAAAAGATATTCGTGAACCGTTAAACAACCACCTGTGAACCGAAACGGTTTGACGATCTAGTTACATATCACCTAAGATGGGGCAAAATGGGAATATACAGTGTTGTTTGCCTTACATTTACTACTTTTTCTTGGCTTAGTTTCATTTTGACTTTTGAGTTATCAAATTATTAAGCATTATGATGTTATTATGACAAAGAGCTGTCATTTTAGCGTTTCTTATTCTTACAATCTGCCTGCTGCATGTGCATTCAACACTTCTTAATTGGTGTTGGAATTAAATATACTGGTGATCTGATATTTCTTTTTTATTGTAATGGAATCATTAAAAAAAATGGGCCAAGGTCCAAATATACCCTCGTATTTTCTAAAATTATTTAAGAATACCATTTGTTATACTATTGGGTTATCTATACCCTTGCAGTCATACTTTGAGTTCAAATATACCCCTCATTTAAACGGAGGAACATGTGTCATCGTCCTATTGGTCAATTCTAAATATCTCCTAATTAATTAAAAAGACTCATTACCCATACCCGAAAAGCAGTTTTCTAAAACAATTTTTTTTTGTGTGTAAAAACTTGAAAAAATTGAATTTATTTTTACTAAAAATTGAAAAAAAATGAAAATATTTTTTTTCAGTTTTTACAAAAAAAAAACTGCTTTAAAAAAAACTGAAAAATATTTTCTAAAACAATGTTTTTGTAAAAATTGGAAGAAAAAAAACTGAAAAGCAATTAAAAACTGGAAAAATTGAAATTGTTTTACCTAAAAACTGAAAAAAAAATATATTTATTTTTTCAGTTTTTACAAAAACATTGCTTTAGAAAATTGCTTTTCAGTTTTTTTTTTAGTTTTTACAAAAATAATTTCTTTAGAAATTAGTTATCAGTTTTTTTTTAAAACAATATTTTTCTAAAAATTGGAAAAAAAATATTTTCGATTTTTTCAGTTTTTAGTAAAAAAAACATTCAGTTTTTTTCAGTTTTTAAAAAAAATTATTTTAGAAAATATTTTTTAGTTTTTTTTTAAAGCAGTTTTTTTGTAAAAATTGGAAAAAAAATATTTTCGTTTTTTTCTGTTTTTAGTAAAAAAAATTCAATTTTCCAGTTTTTACAAAAATAAAATTGCTTTAGAAAATTGCTTTTCGGCTATGGGTAATGAGTCTTTTTAATTAATTAGGAGTTATTTAGAATTGGCCAACAGAACGATGACATGTGTCCCTCCGTTTAAATGAGAGGTATATTTGAACTCAAAGTATGACTGCGTAGGTATAGATAACTCAATAGTATAACGATGGGTATTCTTAGACTATTTTTAAAAGTACAAAAATATATTTGACCCCTTGCCGTTAAAAAATCCTTTCCAATGGCCAAATTTTTTTATGTGCTACTCCACATGTAGCCGTTGAGATTGCAGCTAAGTGGTTCAATTCATTTTAGATTGTTTTTTACTCTCTTTTTTGAATTGAAAGAAAGTAAAAAAAAAACTTTTCTTTCTTCCGCTTCTTTATTTATTTTTTATTCCGTCGAGAAATTTTGGTTATGACTAATGCTCCATTAGCTAAATTGACGTTGATAAAGCTATTTAGTCGTAAAAATAAAGTAAAGCACACCTTGAGTTAAACTCGACGAATTGCGTTCTAAATCTCTTTAAAGAATCAATCAGGCGTAGAGTTTGAATATCACCAAGAACTTTCCCTTTTCCCATTTTCAAAACCTAAACCCCTCTCCAAAACAAACTAAAAAATGTAACAGTAGAAAAGAGCTCTAAGTACGTGTCAAGCCTAAATACCACATTAGGATAACAGTTAAAATATGTGAACATCTACCATTCCATTAATTTATCAAAAACGAGGGCATAAAAAATTAAGAGTGCCCTGCTAAGGGAAAAATGGAATCTCCATTTTGTTGGAATGTAATTGGACGGCAAGGTATGAAGTGTCTCTCCACTACCAGACATATAATTCTAGATTGATTGGAACAAAATGATTTTGATTGAAATAGTTGAATATTTCCATAATGATGTGCCCCTTTTCTGCAACTAAATTCATTGAATCAAAAGACATTTTTAAAAGTCTGATGCTGTTGTCATTGTTTTTCTTTGCTGGTTATGGATTGTCTACTTTGAATGTTTCCAGTTTATCCACAAATCTGTTCATCGCTTTTGTTCAACGATGTTGAAGCTATAATGTTATAAAAAAACGTTGTGCACTTGGTAAAGCCACCCAAAAAAAAAAGAAAAAGGATACGTACTTTGAAATTCTGTGATAATGTATAGTCATGTCACAGCGCACTTGTTCATAATACATCGCGTTAAAACAACACAACAACTATTATCACATAAAATTTCAACTAAAAATTTGGACTCGTTCTATTAAACATAAACTACTAACAATTAACTTTAACACTCTTGTTTCACTAAACTAAATGATGTCGCAAATGTTAAGAAAGAATTAGCACTATGTTATCACTTAACAGCAAACAGATTCCCATGACGGTAGACAATTAGTGATTCTTCGTTAATTAACTTAAGGCTCTAAAAACGAACTGCTTGTTTTGACGAATAAATTAAATACTTCTTTGATCAGTTTTAGATTCAAGATCCTATAGGTTCAAATAACAATCAATTTTAGAGTAGATGCTAATACAATCCGTTAGAATTTGCAAACGATCAACAATGCAAGTTACAAAACAAGTTTTACCTATCCATCAAAACTCGTGAACAGTTTAACTAGATAGATAGAATGAACATAGTATCAAATTTTGCTAATTCGTAAGAACCCGAGAACAATTGAAAAACACATGCAAATTTTGTCAATACGTTTGAACTTACGAACACTTTAAAAAAATAGATAGAATGAAAATAGTATCAAGTGCCAATGAATCAGAACTTTTGAACAACTACAACAAATGTAAGTTTTGTTAATCCGTCAAAACTTGTGAGCAATTTAATAATATAGGTAAAATAAAAAAATATCATCTTATCAATCGTCAGAACTTGATAACAATTGAATAACACATGTAAACTTTGTTAATCCGTTAAAACTTGTGATTAATTGAACTGGATAAGTAGGATGACGATAGAAGAAAGTTTTGACGTTTTGTCAAAGACTTTCCTCACTTGATTGGGAGGATTATAACATAAGAGCAAAATGGATTTTTTCAAAAGTGGAATGGTATCATCGTAATCGAAGCATGCAAATTTTCATGTACTAATACATGGATAGTTTTTACACAATTTTCATTTGAAGTAGAAAAAATGTATATGCACTACATGAAGTAAATTACCAAATCAATAAATGTATGGTATGTATCATTTATTTTTAGACAATAATTACTACACAACAAAGTTGAAATCGACGATATGAATACTCACTTTTTTCTTCAAGACAATATATATNATGACGCCTAAACCAAAAATCACATAAAAATTAAGCATTTGAATAAACATGGTTTAATATAATTAACAGCGGAAATAACATAATTTTCTGATAAAAACAACAACAAAACTAGTACAACCGTCCCCAAAATCTGGTGTCAACGAGTACATGAGCACTACTAAGTATCAAAATACAAACCAAATCCTTAGTACTACTGTCTGGACTATAGAACAGTAATAAGGGAAAATAAATGAAAGAGAGTCAAGGCTTGCGGACGTCATAGCAGCTACCTCAAAGTCTCCAAGTACCCGTACTAGCACGGCTCTAGCAATCACCATGTCCAGATGTACCTAGATCTACACACGAAGTGCAGAGTGTAGTATGAGTACAACCGACCACATGTACTCAATAAGTAACACAACTAACCTTAGGCTGAAAGTAGTGACGAGCTCAAAAGAAGACAGTCAAAACTAATATAAACGACAACACGGATATAATGATGACAATAGCAATAAGTAACTCCAAGTAATTATCAAAATCTGCTCGCTCATATTACATGAATTTAAACATGCTTTCAAGTATAACAATTAAGGCCCAACACTGATAATAACATGTCAGTTACAACTAGCATGAGGAATGATATATCTTT